GATGGACACGCTTGAAGCCCTGACTCAGGGTGGGGGTGGGGAGCCAAGGGTAACATATGTAACCTAAACATCTGTATCCTCATAATGTCCTGAAAAAAAAAAAAATCTTCACAGCAACCCCCCTCCCCTCGTCCCAAAAAAAGAAATAATGTGGATTTTGGGGACAGGACAGTTTATACAAGTTTACATGTCAGCTTCTCCTCTGGGGCTAGAACTGAAGGTTTTTTCCTCCTAGTGCGGCACAGTGCCCGGCACACAGATTTTCAGCTGATGTTTGAAAGAATCAGAATAAGAATTGATGCTTCTGAAAGGCTTATTTTTCCCAATTTTATAGTCCCAAGACAACAGCCTCAAACTTCATTTAGAACTCATGCCAGCTGGAACCTGGAAATCTATTCATTTATAAGGGTCTGCGATTACTCATAAATGGAATAAAGCCCACGGGAGAACAAGTGTTATCAAAGTTATTCAAAGCTTGTTCATATTGGTAGGCCTCATATATTTCCTGTTATGCGTTTAGTCCACATAACTAAACTCTTTAAGCATATTTTCTCACGCACTGGAGACTGTCTCATTTATTATTTTTAAAGTAAGCCCATAATCCCTACTCCCTTATATTTACATGTACACTAGCTTACTATGTATTTTCTTAACCCCGGATTCTAATTTTCTCCTCACCCTTGAAAAGATAGTTTCAAGAAAATATAGGGCAGTTACATACCTGAGTGTAATGGCCACAGACTTTATTGCATTTCCGAGTCTCAAAGTCATAGTACTGGATTTCATCATACCAGCTTGTGATGGCTGAAGACACAGAAAAGATGGATAGAGATCCAGTCCAGATGTTTTCTCCCAGTGAAGTAAAGTTTGGGTGCAGCCTGTGGGGTGACTTCAGTTGTACATTATGTGCAAATCGACAATGTTTTGCCCATGCTTTTGCAATTTGCGCTAGTGCTGGGTCCCAAGTCTGCAAAAATAAATATTAAACAATGGGGGAGGAGCTCAAGAATGAAACCTATTACCCAAAATGTAACTAGGGTGAGCAGAGTGTGAATTTGAATGGGAAATGAGGTGTGATGACAAGAATAGAGAAGGAAACACTGCATATGGGTCCTCTATAAATATGGTCTTCAAGCACTGACTAGGGCCAGAAGGAAACATGATAATCTAGTTTCCTGGAATTTAGAATCTAGGTGACGGAATTAGCTCAACATTTTCCAAAAGGACAATTATAGTGTGTGCAAAATAGTGTGTGCTGTGTTTCACATCTCACATGATAACCATAATAGCCTATATCCTAATAAGTTCAGACAGGTTAAAAATCAGCTCAAAGCCACAGATCTGGGATTCAAACCCAAGCCTCACTGAATCGAAATCCCATCCTTTCCCCAGATGCCATACTGCCTTCCTGAGAAAGTCAGTACTGTGCTGCCAACAAAAAAAGTAAACTTAGAGACAAGAAAAACAAAAACAAACCAACCACAAAAATTAACAGGGAAGAGAATGACAAGAAAAAGAAATAAAATCTACCTAAGACCAGAGAAAAGGAAGTGTCCAAAAAGAGAAGTGAAATGTACCGTGGAGCTTGCTTCTAACAGCAGTTGAGTAGACAGAACTAAACTGGACGTGTTTTGATCAGAGATTGTGAAGTTTTTGCACACATTAATCACAATGAAAAAAATCATTCCAGATTACCAAGGATTTAACCCCCAAGTCAATACATATTAGCTATTTTTTACTGACTCATGCCCCAAATATTGATATTTTCCTTACCATGTATAGCATATCACTGGCTGTTGGATTCACCTCTGATCGGAACTTATTATGAATTCGAACACAGTCTTCGATGAAATCTTCATTTTCAATATCTGGCAAAGTATTTTTTGTATATGACTGACTAGAGACGAAAGAAACCATCCAGGCTGCCGTAGCAAGCGTGACTCGAATGCTCAGTCTGTCTGGCATGGAGCCTCGGGAGGCAGCAATCCCAGCGGCTGCAGTTTTTGAGAATGAGTGTGCTTGCCTCTGTCAGAGTCCTCAGCTGGCAGCTTTACAAAGCATAGCCAACTTCAGCTTTGAAAAAATGGAAAGCAGAACTGAGTTCATCACAAGTTTTAAGAAATGGGTTTCTCCATATATGGTTTGCAGCTCATTTTGTGTTCTTAACCCTGTCTTTTCAGTGGTTTTCAGTGACACAGCACCTATTACAACATAGATTCCTATGAGGCTGCCTCAGACTTTGAGTTGGGGGATA